AGAGGTGTATCGAATCATTCGGACGCCCGGGGCTTACTTTCAATTTTAGCGCCCCAACCCCCATTTATAAATAGTTAACCACGTTGGCTAAAAAGCGCCAGCCCCCCCCCCCTCCCCTCTTCAACAGTTTTTAATTTTAGTGTCACTAAACAGATGTAGAAAATAGTTAAACACGTACGTAAAGCCATATGCAGTCTATTGAGCTTTTTATTTTCCACCCGTTTGGCGCCCTCCATGCTATGGTTCGTGCCCGGGGCGGCCGCCCCAACTGCCCTCCCTTAGCTACGCCTCTGCTTAAAACATATATTTTAATTATACTGTTTTCAAATTCAGTTACTTTTTAATAAATAAAGTTAATATTGTAGAAAACAGTGTGGCTGTTTGGTTTCGATTGTTTAGATTTCTAGCAACTACTCGAATTAGATACTGTGCATTGTGTTTGCAAACGTGTATAACGATTTAAGGATTATATATGCCGCCATCATATGTTCTATACAATTGCGTAATTATGATACAGGGCTGTGTACAGATGCTTTGATATAATATTACTAAATTCAGATTCTAAACCGTTGTAGCATTATTAGTGTTAGAGTTGTGAGTATCCCATATTTAATCTGCCATTCTTGATAATTTTATTACATGGAAAATCACTGGACAGGGTGCGTATATTATTCATTCTGAAGTGTTTTATTCAGAGTTTCTTCCAGGCATCTCTTCGGGGGGGGGGGGGGGGGGGGGTGGGGGGGCCGAACGAAATGAAATTTATATAATTTATATAGAACATATATACTTTCAACAGTGTCCGACCCCCCGAAGAAAGTCTACCGCCCCCCCCCCCCCCCCGAAAATTTCAAGTGCCGCCGGAGGAAAAAGTCTGGAAGAAACACTGGTTTTATTCCATAAGCAGTATCAGTCACTGTAAAGTAAGTAAAGTTCCCTTTCGAACCCGACGGTTCATGTGTGGCAAGTGAAGTAGAGTTCGTCTGTTTCTGTGACCTCGGCATATAAAGGAATAGTGTGGTAAGCACTATGCCCAGCCGCCTATATTTTCTCTGACGTGAGTCAGGTACTCATCAGAGCTGAGTGGGCTCATTGGACATTCTACGGACTTAATCTCGGATTCGAACTCGAGACTTTCCTTGATTCTGATAACTCACTAATCCCTCTCTCACTCCTTTCCTCTCCCCTCTCTCCCCTCTCTCTCTCTATCTCTCTCGCTCTCTTCCTCTACCTCTCTCTCTCTCGCTCTATCCCTCTCTCTCCTCCTCAGTGTTTCTTCCAGACTTTTTTCTCCGGGGGGCACTTGAAATCTTCGGGGGGGGGGGGGGCGGTAAACTTTCTTCGGGGGGGGGGGGGTGGCGGACACTGTTAAAAGTATATATTTTCTATATAAATTATATAAATTTCATTTCGTTCGGGGTGGCGGTAAAAAATTTTCGGGGGGGCTAAGCCCCCCCGAAGAGATGCCTGGAAGAAACTCTGCTCCTCCTCTCCCTCTCTCTCTCGCTATCCCCTCCTCTCTCTCCCTCTCTCTCTCGCTCCTCTCTCTTTCCCACTCTCTCTCTCTCTCTCGCTCCCTCTCTCCCTCTCTCTCTCTCGTTCTCTCTCTCTCTCTCGCTCTCTCTCGCTCTCTTCCTCTCTCTCGCTCTCTCTCTCTCTCTCTCGCTCGATCCCTCCCTATCTCGCTCTCTCTCTCTTTCTCCCTTACATTAGCCATGAAGACAAGACCCTCAGTCAAGAATCAGGCATTTCTCTGACCCGCTTTGCAATGCCGCAATAATGTGACTTTTCACCACTGTTTAAAATCACATTTTTAAACATCAATTTGTCTTATTGTCTGTGTGTTTAGCAGGGACAGCAGTAATTGGTGGTTCTTAAATTGTTACACCATATGGTACGTGATTGTCGGGTTCTACACACATTCAGAGATGGCTACAAGTGAATAACTCAACATTGATCATGTTAGGAAATACTATATCACGCAAAATGGGATAAGAAAAGAGATTGGGGGCGGGGGGGAGCGTCTAATGAAAATTTTTTTTTATTGAATATGTATTTAATTGTTTTCGTCGAAAAATTTCGAGTTCGAACCCTCCGGCAGATGAGGCTCGTTAGCTGGGGACAGCCGCTCTTCTAGGCAGTGTTTCTTCCAGGCATCTCCTCCACCACCCCCCCCCCCTAAAAGAAATGGAATTAATATAGAAAATATATATATGCTTTTAACAGTGTCCCCAATGAAATTTTAGTCCGCCCCTTTCCCCTCCCCCCCCCCCCCCGCCCCTGAAAATTTAAAGCCCCCCCCCCCCCCCCCCCCCCCCCGGAGAAAAAAGTTTGTAAGAAACACTGCTTCTAGGAGAGACAACTCCAAATTCAAACAACGGCTGCCTTGTAGTTTGTTCTAGTGCATAACCAGTTGAGACGTATACTTAATTGTCTTGGGGGGTTTCCCTACCATGATAAACCATTTGCCTTAAAGTAATCAACGTCAACTAATATTATTGAACTAAACTAACAATTTGTTTCATCCAGTAAATCCATACATAGATTTAACGATTAAATGTAAGTCCTTTGAAATCAAAGCGTATTTTGTTTTATATTTTCTACACAAAGCCCAAACCTGATATAAAGATTACAAAAACAATGAATGTCGAGGTCTAAGGTTGATAAATTATAAACAATAACTTTTTTATTTCAATTGTATGTAAGCTAGTCTTTATGTTAAGCAATTAATGTCAATCGTTACATGTATCAGAATGTCACAGGAGTTTTGATATCGTAGATGAAACACGGGTTAACATTTTACAATTGTTAAGTAGTTGATGAGTGAAAAAAGGTAGAACTCATATAAAGAAAGACAGAACAACTGAGTTCAGATAATGGGTGACATTATCTAAACTGATAAACGATCACTAGATCTCTAGCAAAGAGCCGATTACATGATTAAGATATTTGATCAGGTGAGTTATTCGATTTTGAATTAAAATTTACTAACTAGAACGATTTCAGTTGTATCGAAACACAAAAGGGCGACTTCACTTTTAACTAAAAACAAAATGGATATTTTACTTTAAGTAATGGAAAAATGAACAAATTAATTTTTCAATGAAAATTGTGACAAATATTGTTGGTTTACCTTTAGTGACCTTGGCTTGTTGGATTACCTTTAGTGACCTTGGCTTGTTGGTTTACCTTTAGTGACCTTGGCTTGTTGGTTTACCTTTAGTGACCTTGGCTTGTTGGTGTACCTTTAGTGACCTTGGCTTGTTGGTTTACCTTTAGTGACCTTGGTGTGTTAGTTTACCTTTAGTGACCTTGGCGTGTTAGTTTACCTTTAGTGACCTTGGCTTGTTGGTTTACCTTTAGTGACCTTGACCTGCTGCTTTAACTATAGTGACCTTGGCTTGTTGGTTTACCTTTAGTGACCTTGGCTTGTTGGTTTACCTTTAGATACCTTGGCTCGTTAGTTTACCTTTAGTGACCTTGGCTTGTTGGTTTACCTTGAGTGACCTTGGCTCGTTAGTTTACCTTTAATGACCTTGGCTTGTTGGTTTACCTTTAGTGACCTTGGCTTGTTGGTTTACCTTTAGTGACCTTGGCTCGTTAGTTTACCTTTAGTGGCCTTGGCTTGTTAGTTTACCTTTAGTGACCTTGGCTCGTTAGTTTACCTTTAGTGGCCTTGGCTTGTTAGTTTACCTTTAGTGACCTTGGCTCGTTAGTTTACCTTTAGTGGCCTTGGCTTGTTGGTTTACCTTTAGTGACCTTGGCTTGTTGGTTTACCTTTAGTGACCTTGGCTTGTTGGTTTACCTTTAGTGACCTTGGCTTGTTGGTTTACCTTTAGTGGCCTTGGCTTGTTAGTTTACCTTTAGTGACCTTGGCTCGTTAGTTTACCTTTAGTGGCCTTGGCTTGTTAGTTTAGCCTTCAGTAGCCTTGACTTGTTGGATTACCTTTAGTGACCTTGACCTACTGGTTTACCTTCAGTGACCATGACATGTTGGTTTTTTTTTTTCTGCAGTAATTTATAACAACAGTTCTACACTTATTGCCCTACATTACAGAAAGCAATAATTTAATACAGTGATTCTCTCCGAGGTGTATTTTTCTTGAGTGCAATTCAGTCGCTTTATTTATTATTTTAATTAGATTAAACATTTATTTATACAGATTATACATTTGTTTATACAGTTTATAATTTGTTTATACAGTTTATACACGTGTTTATACACGTTATACAATTATTTATACACTTTATACTTTTGTTAATAGAGTTTATACATTCGTTTCAGAGGCGTATCCAGGTTTTCGTTGTAGGGGGAGCGAAAAAGAGCAAAAAAGGCGCCGAATTTTTAACAAGTTCTATATACGTGTATTTTATATATATATATATATATATATATATATATATATAAATATATATATATATATATATATATATATATATATATATATATAATTACTAGCTGTATGTCATTACTTCGCTATGATGTAAAATAAATTGAAAGTAGCACTCTGAAGAAATAAGAAAAAACACAATGTAGGCCGACAAAACAAAAATTGTATCAATCTAAACAAAAAAATATATATTTATACACACACTACAACCAAAACCAATGAACGTAACACAATCTGTTTTGTAATTCTTGTAAAAAAAAATTTCTTACATAATAATTCCTGGGAAATTATTTAAGACAAGTCAAATAGGGGAAATAATCACTCTCTTAATATAAATATGTATATATCTACACATTTAATTATAAATGTCAAAACAAATAAATAACTACTTTAGAATATAATGAAATTGTTTAACACTATTCGTGTTTACAAAATGTTTAGGTCTATAATTAGAATTTAATATATCGTCAGCATAAATGCTAAAGTATTACAGCATAATGAAAGTTTTTAAAATCAGAGTTGTTATAAAACCACGCTTTTTGATATAATAGAACACAATCGGAGTAATAACCTACATTTTACTAAATATCGGTCTTTTAGTTGCTAGTCTAGATTTAGTGTTAAAACTCATGGATCCAGAAGAAGCTGACGGGGACGACTTTGAAGATGGAGCTGAAATAGAAGATGATGAGCCATTAGATGAACCTATAGATCATGAACAGGGTGAGAGAGTGGAGATCATCAGTGAGGGAGCCACAGGCCAGGTGGAGCCCCAGAAAAGAATAACAACCAAGTACATGACAAAATATGAGCGGGCCAGAGTTTTAGGAACACGTGCACTGCAAATAGCGATGTGTGCCCCTGTGATGGTGGAGCTAGAAGAAGAAACTGACCCTCTCGCCATAGCCATGAAAGAGATTAAAGCAAGAAAAATTCCTTTTATCATCAGTAGATATTTACCAGATGGGAGTTATGAAGACTGGGCATTGGATGAATTGATTATTGACTGACTCTTATATTCTTGTCTAATAAAAATTTTTGTACCATTAAAAAAAAAAAAAAAAAAAAAAATCGGTCTTTTAGTTTAGATCCTATATTTTAATTAACTACTGTTTCATAGTGTTCTTTAAAGATTTTTTTTTTTAACATAGATGGAATGGGTTAGATCACTGTATTGATCACACACCTTTTTACTGGTAATTGCAAAAACAATATTCACAGAGTTGTACGTTAAAAAGCTAATTTTCTGGCGGCATGGTACTTTGGTACATCATTTCGCATTTTTCTACATGTACTTAACAGATCAATTTGGGGTGGGTTGGGGGGGGAGGGGTGGGTTCAACTTCATTCACCACTGTCCGTTCACTGTAGGTCAATGCATCGTAATGGTTATTTTTAGATTGGCAAACTGATGCAGCTGTTAATACGTGTTGTAAACGTACACACTACTAGACTAGTACAATAATGCTTAATTCCTGCATGAAAAGAAATCTTGTGATTTACATAGATGTGCCGACCAAAAGTATTTATTTTAACAAATATCATTGTTTAAAACGTTGAGTTTAAAAAGTTTCCAAAAAGGCGCCACTTTGCTGAAAATGGCCAGAGGGGGAGCGGCCGCTCCCCCTGCTCCCCCCTGCGTACGCTACTGATTCGTTTATACACGTTATGCATTTGTTTATGCAGTTTATACATTCGTTTATACAGATTAGACATTTGTTTATACAGTTTATACAATTTTGTAAACAGTTTATATATTTGCAAAGAATAACAAAGTCTTTCGTTTCCTTACTCATTTTAAAAACTTGTATATTAAAAAAAAAATTGTGGTAATTTTAAAATACATCAATTTCATGAAATATTGATGTATTATTGATGTAATATTATGAATTATGAAGGAAAGGGGGGGGGGGGGTGGATTTTATCATTTTGTTATCTATTTATATAATTATCTTGATGGAGACCATAGAAAACACTACGCAGCTTAGCCACCACCCTCATCCCCACCTGTCAGGTGAGCTGTGGTTCACCCCGAATGTTTACAATCGTAGAGCCGGATTAGTGAATGCTATTAGTGGCAGATAATTTAGTATTTAACGGTTTGAAACAAAGGGGAGGTAACGATTTCTGATTGAACTTTTCTTCTGAAACGGTTGCTTTCACTGGGCAAAATGGGGGGGGGGGGGAGTGGGGAGTGTTAAATTCACAAATTATGAATTGCTGATAAGCAGAAAATAAAACAACTAGATGGCGGTGTATACTACGTCGCGGGTAAGCTCGTATGTAGTAATGCGTAGAGAGTAGTCATATATAAGCAGACAAAATTTGCCTCGATTTTCCCACGTTTTCTTTAACTTGCTTTCGTCTCTGTTTGTTTGTCTTTCCAATCAAATCTTGCGATCGAAATTTCTGGCACTTCCCAGTTAGCTAGCGCGCTGAAATTTTCAGGGAAGCTTTGTTTTGGATGACATTAGAATATTCAATTGTTATTATTACTAAATTGATCCATGGAAACATTTTATTGAGCATTTTAGACCGCTATATAATCTATATATATAATTCTCCTCTGCGAGCCATTAGAAAACAAGCTGCAAGCGCCTCCTTACAGTCCCCTCTCTTTCTCTCTATCACTATCACTACCACCCTACCCCACCCCCACATGGTCTGCTGAGCTGTGGTCACGTTAATGTTTACAAACCGTACAGCCAGGTTTAGTGACGGCTTTTAGGGGCAGATAATTTAGTTTGAACCGATTTAAACTTACAGGAGGTAACTAAGAGGAGGCTGCTTTCACGGGGGGGGGGGGTGTAGGGTCGGGGTTAGGGGAAAGGAGGGGGGTTAGTGTTTTAAAGCAAATATTTTCAGTGGAAGCATTGGTACTGTCGAATTCACAAATTATGAATTACTGAAAAGTAGAAAATAAATCAACTAAATAGCGGCGTATGATACGCCGCGGGTCGGCTCGTTGTAGTAAAAACGTGGGGAAAAAAGGGACATAACCCAGTAACTGTAATTTGTGTACAACCAACCGTAACAACTGGTGGCCAGTATGGGGGAGACGATATGGTCGAGTGGTTGGGCACAAGATTGCTATCCCACTCGACACGGGTTCAAATCTGTGTTCTAGTCAGTAACGTATTCACACAACGTGTTTTTTACGAGTTGTCTTTTTACGAGTTGTCTTTTTACGAGTTTTCTTCGTTTACCCAAAAAAAAGTGAAAAGATAAAATCGATAGCAAGATTTTAATGCAAGCAAACAGACAAAGACTAAAAAGTAGAAAATAATAATCATTAAAAAAGTTTTTAAAAACCCACGTTTTCTGATTGAACTAAAAAGTAGAAAATAAATGCCATACATCACAATAATGCAAGCGATCACTCTACTATAAGCGATCAAAGAATACGTGTTTACTCAATAAAATTACTGCACATTGTGTCCATTTAACATTGCAATTATAATGTTTAACATTAATGAATATTAGTTATACTAATATGAATTAAATTTTATTTTAATTTACTTAAAATTGATAAACTAAAAGCTACATCTATTAAAAATAGTGTATATTATAAAATGTAATCAATTCCATTTCTATGTACTATACACACTGCCACACCAAGAAGTTAAAATATTCTTCCAAATTGATCTTGCTGTAACCCCATACCCTCTCAACACACCGAACCGACAAAAAGTAACCATTCTATTTTTATTTTCTTGTATACAGAGTACAGTGAAAGAATTGTGATCGTGCAAAACAAATGATTGAGATTTTTGCAAATCTCGACGTTTTACACCTCTCTGAGTCGGAAAAACATTAGTTTGGCAATCTTGTCCGTATGTCTCTGTGTGTGTATGTGTGTATGTGTGTCTGTGAACACGATAACTTAAGTGCCGTTACAGCTAGGTTGATGAAATTTCATATACAAGTATTATGTCCAATTTCTAGTTATGTATCAACTCTTGAGCAATTTCCGATAACCGGAATTTGAACTTATTCTACTTTCAATTTTTCAAAAGCCTATAACTTGAGTACTGTTTCATACCGATAAATGAAATTTCACATGTAAGTAAAAAACCTATTTCTCTATCTTCTGTCAAATTTTGAGTATTATCCGTTGACCGGAAGTAGTAATTGACGCTTTTTCCGATTTCTCAAAAAACGCGTGTGAATTTATAAAGTACTAATAATAGTCCGCACTATTATACACAGATTGTTTTGGCGTTTACTTGGTGCGCAATTCTTTTTTTTTCTACGAGATTCTATTCTATTTTAAAAAGTTTAAGTAATTAAAAATGGATTAAACGTCATGTTTATATCCCGAGTGCCATCCCCCGTAGTGTTATATAAGAATATTCGAGAAAGTTTAGGGAAGATCACATTTCAGCACATCGATAAAAAGTAACCATCCTATTTTATTTTTTTAATTATTTTTACAAAACGTTGAATCATCCTTTAACTACACATTTGTATTATTATGGTAAAAAATATAAGTAAAACATCTTGTATGAATGAAAGCACATGTCAGAAAGAAGTATTAATATTGTAAGTCTGTATCAGTCCTCACAAGCCGATGATCAAAACTGTAATACTAAAGTGTACATGGCAAGGCAAACTGACGCTGTAAATTACATGTCCGAGGCGAAAAAAAAAAGAAAATTAAAAATAAAAGAAAAAATAAAACATAATTTAATTTATTTTTAAAAATCTAGACGATTTTTTACAAAATCTTTTTAAGTTAGTTTCAGATCTTCTAACACTTCTTTTAGAAACTAGTTCAAAACTAAAAAGTGGCATCGATATTTGGATGAAAGAAATAGAACGCCTCTTACGTGTATATACACATACACACGCACACACACACACAAGAACTCACACACACACACACAGAGAATACATAACTTGTACAGCTTTTGTTACAATAGTATAATATAACAAAGCTCGTGACACATTACTTTTGCCTAATATACTGCTCTATATTATTAAATTCTCGACTTATCATTACGTCGAGAACTCAGCAAAATATTTTCCTGGATTAAGATCTATCTAAAGATGATTTTATCGTGACCAGATCAGTGGCGTAGCGAGGTCGGGTGTCACCCGGTGCGGCATTTAATGGTGTCACCCCCCAGAGGCGTAGCGACCCTTCCCGGGGACAAATTTTCAATTTGCATCCCCCCCCCCTCAAGTTTTCGATTTGCACCCCCACCCCCTCAAACTTTCGATTTGCACTCCCCCCCCCCCTCAAGTTTTTCTCTATATATTTTGCTATTTTTTTGCCTTGGTGTCACCCCCCCCCCCCCTAAATGGTGTCACCGGTGCGGTCCGCAACCCCCGCCCCCCCCCCCCCCCTCTCTACGCCCCTGGACCAGATGAATCCATTCGAGAGCTAGGTTTGTGTTTTATGTCCCTCGATGCCTATTTTAAACACAGCTACTGATTATGTAGTTGTGTGAGAATATTGTACGTCCCCTAAATCCATAACCTTTGATGGTAGCACATGTGATTATAACTTGTTCACATTTTCCTAATACAAGCATAATTCCCTAGAAAATGTGTGGGACGGCATGGTCAAACAGTAGAGCGTCTGGCTGCTAGTCCGATAGTCTCGAGTTTGGATCTAGGCTCAGATTTAGGACTGAAGAACGTCCCTGAGTACACCCAGCTCCAATAGATACCTGGCTTACGTTGGGGAAAGTAAAGGCTGCTGGGCAAAGTGCTGACGACACTATCCCTTCATTTATCGAGGAAACAAAAACAACATGTGAACTCTACTTCATCTGTCAAATGAATCTCGTTGTCTCGAGTTTGCCTAAATTTGATTCATGATTGAGAGCAGCATCTAAATGAAAGCATTAATATTGAACATAAGTTATCATTGTTTGGTACTTAATTCACACCCATTCAATGCATATTTTGATTTTAGCACATGATTTTTGCTAATGCACAGGTCTTTAATGCAATCATTCACCTCAAGCTCATCATTGTTGCTGTTCACATGTCCTCAATACAATCTTTTATCTCTAGCACATGATTGTTGCTTGTTCAAAAAC